GCTTCCTTTGGGTCAAAAAGATTCTGGGATTGGGTGGTGGTGATGGTGGCACAGCCTTGTGAACATACTGAAAATCACTCAGTTGTAAATCACCTAACATGGTGAATTTGATGTTAATTGTTTTAGGAAAACTGAGTTGAGTTATAAATCATCTTCACTCTTCAGATAATTTGTCTATCAGAAAAAGAGAGAGAAATACATGCTTGTTCAGGCTCAAACAGAATAAAATATTTTAAAAGAACAATCTCTTCCTTTTTAATTACTCTAAACCCCTCTCCCCAGAGATGTCCACTATTTAATAGTTTGGGGTATATTTTTGAGACTGTGCTACAAGCATGCGCGCACACACACACACACACACACACACACACAACTGTTTTTGTTTTGTTTATAGAAAATTGAAAATGTTGCCCATGTGTCTGAAGAGGATTTTATTGAGTGTTTCTCATACAATCAGGATTTATTCACAAACGTTTTTTAAGTTCTCTGTGCAGAGCCTTGGGAAAGAATGAAAAATTGAATCAGACAGGTGCCTATGGTCTAGTGGAGAAAGAAGCCTATACATAAGTGTCACTATGTAAGATATGAGCGTGGTGGTACCTAGAGAGGTACCAGTAATATTAAACCAGGTGTGCAGGGTCCTGTGTTTACAGTCCTATCAGTTGAAGCCTCCAGGCCATCTCTTTCAGGACAAATCAGGAGTTGGGCTGGAATAAAGTATTTATGGAATGAGAAATGCAGAAATTGTGGAATTTTCATCTTATAACTGAAAGTTTTCTCCTCCAGGGAAAAGAAACAAATTAGGCTTAAATTTCAGAGTTCCTTCTCTGATAATGTGAAGTGTCCAGCGAGGGCCTCAGCAAAGGATTTGTGCAGGCAGACGTGGACTCAGATATACTGCTGATTAAAGCCAGGTTCTCTCTTCCTAGCAGTCAGTTAGACAGCTTGGCCGTCCTGTGGACCTTACTGTTTTGGAGATGTTGGGAATCCCATGTGGTTTAATTAGTAGGAATTAACTTGCTATATGAAGAATTTTTCTTTCCTGTATGGACTTGAAATCAACTGTCATCCTAGCAAAAAGAAGGAATTCCTCTAAAATTGGAAAGTCATTCATTTCTTGGCAATTTTTTTTTGTTTTATTTAGCAGCCCCAGAGCTCATAGAATATGTCATTTGAGTTATTTAAAATCTAAACCCAAACTTGTAATTCTTTATGGTCTACGACAGCTGCAGAACAGAAATGAGAAGTACGGTCTGCTTGGCTCTGACAACAGGGCTCTTGCATAGAAGGCTGAGTTGTGCCGGGGATTGCTCACTGCAAAGACTTATTCTTTCATCACAGCAAATTAATCTGAGCAGTAACGTCGCCCTCCAAACAGCAGGAGTCTGTGTCCGCCCCTCAGCGTTTCCTAATATAATATTTACTGATAGGGCAGTGGTACGTGCAGTACTTTGAGAGCCTCATTGGAGGCTAGGGAAGAAGGCAGAAGCTCAGGGAGCCTTTGCCTTTGTAATTTGATGGACCCATTGTTTTCATTTCCTGGAGATATCCCAGAGAGGCACAATAGCAGAGACAGAATCTTATTTGTGATTAAAAGTTCTTTTTTACAAAACTTCTTAGCCCTGTGTTCCCACTTCTTTCCCGTCTGAGAGTTGCTCCACTGAGAGAGGCACCACCACAGTTCTGCACCCTTAAATACTAACAAGAGCTCCCACCTACTGAGCTTTCCTTGGCTGCCAGACATCGTGGTGAGCTGCTTTATGTACCTATCTCATGCTTTACGTGCAAGATTTCATTTGATCCTCATGCAGCTCTGCATGGTGGGCACTCAAGTCCCTTCACATTGCAGGGGAAGAGCTGAGGCTTGGAGAAGCTAAGTAACATATCCAAGTGATAGAGTCTAGACTCAAACCCAGGTTTGCCACTCGTTAATGGTGACACCAGCCATGTAGTTGCTCAGGCCAAAAAGTGAATGATCCTTGATTCCTTTCTTTCCTTCATCTTCACATTTGTTTTCTCCACCAGTCCTCTTGGGTTTATCTCCTAAATATGCCCCAAATCTGGCCACCTGTTTCTGTCTCCACAATACTAGCTTAGTCCAGTCCTGTATTGTCTTTGCCTGGAACCCAGCAGCAGCCTCTTCAACTGATCTTCTTCCATTACAGTCCATCCTCCCTCCCCACAGCAGTGGAATGATATTTTAAAAATCTAAATTAGATCCTATCACTTCCTTGTTTAAAACCCCCGGTGACTACCCAATTGCTATGAGAAGAAAGTCTCACCTTTACCAGGGCCCACAAAAGGCTGTGCGGTCAGGTTCCTGCTGCCTCTCTGACCTCATGCCCCCTGTCGTCCTCTCTGTCCCTCAGACTCACCAGGCTCATTCCAGCCTTTGCACCAGGTCCCCTGTGAGAAGGCCCTTTCCAGATCTTTGCTTGGCTAGCTCCTTCTCCTCATTCTGGTCTCTGCAGCCTTGTCTGATCACCCTGTATAAAGAAGCATTTAGAAATATTGTTTTCAAAGATATCTTGCTTTCTAAAAATAGCCTGATTTTTTTAAAGATTTTATTTATTTATATGACAGAGAGAGCACAAGCAGGGGGAACGGTAGGGAGAGGGAGAAGCAGGCTCCCCGTGGAGCAGGGAGCCCAACGTGGGACTCCATCCCAGGACCCTGAGATCATGACCTGAGCCAAAGGCAGACGCTTAACCGACTGAGCCACCCAGGTGCCCCAAAAATATCCTAATTCTAAAAATAAACTATTTCGCTTTAAGTTTATGGGGTTTTTTTTTCCCATATCAGGCAAAGCAAGCCAAAGTTCAGAGTGTATAAATTTTATTTTTTTAAAGATTTTATTTGAGAGAGAGAATGAGAGAGAGAGAGAGCACACGAGAGCAGGGAGGGTCAGAGGGAGAAGCAGACTACCGCTGAGCAGGGAGCCCGATGTTGGACTCGATCCTGGGGCTCCAGGATCGTGACCTGAGCCGAAGGCAGTCGCTTAACCAACTGAGCCGTCCAGGCGCCCCAGAGTGTATAAATTTTAAATATTTGCTTGGTTGTTAGACCATATTATTTCTCAGCAGGATACCAGAAAAATCACTGTCCTACTAATGACTACCTTGACCTAATGCATTGATCACAAGGCTTTCTTCATACACTGAGTCTTTATCTGGCAACATAACAGCATCCAAGTGTTTGGGCCGAAAATTAAGTAGTTTACATGAGTGTAAGCAGAATGATCTTAAAGCCTAAACCAGACACCAGAATGGTTTGTGTTTTTTTGTGTTTAAGTTTTTCATATTTTTCTGGATTGTTTTTGTAGTTTTGTTTTTTTTCTTTTTCTTTTTCTTTTTTCTTGGTATATCTTCAGCTGATGTCCTGGCACTTGATAAAGTCATTCACACTACAGTCCATGTGCTGTCCCTCTTGGCTTAGGGGTTAGTTCAAGTTGGTCTGCTGATACATGCACAGGTGTCACAAGTACATTTAGAAACACCCTCTCCACCTAGCTTCTTGTCTCCAAAGAGCCATTTCTTTCTTTTTAATTTTATTTTATTTTATTATGTTATGTTAATCACCATACAGTACATCATTAGTTTTTGATGTAGTGTTCCATGATTCATTGTTTGTGTATAACACCCAGTGCTCCATGCAGTACGTGCCCTCCTTAATACCCATCACCAGGC